CACAACTCATGTCATGTGTACTAGATGTTGATCATCTCATCGGTAATTTTAGAGAATATTGTGTCAATGTGAATACCTCGTCAACTATCAGATCTAATTAGAAGCTTAGTGATTTAATATTTCAATTTGAAAGCAAGGATGTAACACAGCCTCGAAAACTAAGCATCTGATACTCATTTTGAAGGATGTATGCTTGTTTCATTTACACAACGGTCACTAGATTATATTTATTATGAATTCAACTAAAGAAAACATTTGAGGTTACACTGTTAATGTCTGCTTGAAACTGATCACTATGTGAGCAGGCACATTCAGTGTCACATCCAACAATGAAATGATCATCATGAATCCCACAAATTCGAAATTTCGATAATCTTCTCTTTACAGATCTTACATTCAAGTTAACTATTCTGATATATCGGAATGGGAAGATATCTTTGTATTATGATGAGGTAAGTTGCATAATTGAATGGAAATATAGTTTTATTTCAAGTGCTTCAGATTACTCTACTATTTCGTGCATGTCAATACTGTCGAATGCAACAATGCATACTGTATAAAGAGATCAACATCATGTAATCTGCACACGAACTATATAGCCACATTATTAATCCCTTAGTGAGACACTTTATTTTAGCACTTTTTCAATTTAGTGAATAATAAGCAATGATGTGATATGTAAAGAAACATTATGTCTTAGTCCTGATTAGAAACTGACAGTGTGTGTTAGAGTACTGTACAGCAACTGTCAGATTCTATCAAGCTTTACTACTTATTTTGGAGTCCAGCTGTTTGAAAAGTTCACCGTTGAATAATCTGACTGATTTGATGTCAATATGGTGATCGTTTCTGAGCGTGTAATTGTTCGAATGTCAGTATTATGTAAACCACCCATTAGTAATACAGTAGACGTTAGGTAACTAGAAAGGGCTGCTGAGATGAATGAATGTTTCGAGGCAGTCAGGACATATAATGGACAGAATTCTCTTGGAAAATGAACGGTAATGGATGGAAGTGAGCACATCAACACAATTCCACCGCATGACAACAAAATTCACGTGCAGTAACATTGCAGATATTCACAACCACATTTCTAACAACGGACGTGGGTGTTCATCTCACAATGTATCATCTCATTCCATGACAGATAGATCGTTCATATAACTTCACTGATGTTGACAACTGAAGTGAGTCAGCAAATTTGGCGAGCAAAGTTCTGAGAGAACAACGGCGATCATTATGCTTACTGCAAGTGTGATTAGTGGTTTTTCTATAGGATAATGCGATTGACGAGACATTACTTCAAGAGCTAGATGATTTTGATATAGGTGTTTGTGTGTTGACAGGCCTTAACTCAGACTCCCATTACTTCTTTTCAGGTATCTTTGGAAATTGAAGAAGATGAAATAAAATCGGACATATACGGTTTTATTTTGTGTGGAGAAGGTAACAGATGTTATTTCTATTCTGATTTATACTGACGTACATGAACTATCACCAGTTTGGCAAATGTTTCATTCTGTTTGTACCTGATTATCACTATGCTAACACAGAAATTTTCTGTAATCTATCATTGTGATCTAGTATATCTTTCCCACAGTCTGCATTATTCAGTTGTTTCGTGTGTAAAATAAGTTGATCGAAGTGTCATCGAAGTGTTGAAGAAAATAGTGTGAAATAAAATTGGAATACTTTTCGTAAACTCACTTGTCAAAAGTTGCTATCTGTTGATTACTCAACGTCAATTAAGCGTTCACACATGCAGAGACAAAATTGAAGTATCACATGTGATAGAGAGTCCTAGTGGGAACTCATCCCGAAAAACCCTCGTTTTGTGATTATGTCGTTCGATCTGTGAAACACTGAAATTATCTGAAATAACATGAACTGTCTGTGTTTTCGTTTGACTATCCATCGTCTCCGTTATTATCACAAAAAGGGTTCGAGTTGATGTGATAAAATTGTGATGGTGTTGCTAAGGTCTTCTATGCTAAATTCCACCAACAATGAATCTCACGATCCACATATGTCTAACCGAGTATACCGAGTAATGTATCTAAGACGTGTGGATGTCTTCATCGCGAAAGTGCGGATGGATATTCGGAAAAGTCTTTTGCATATGTTTAACGATTCACTGATCCACACCGGGTTATATGAACGACGAAATTGGGCTGAAAATGCATCGACTCATTTATTCACTCGCTCATTCACTCTCTATTCTACCAGTCAAACCTGCATTCATTATTCATATCACTACTGTACGCAAAAGAAAGTGTATTTTGTCAAAGTGTTGAATAAAACAGTGTGAAATAAAATCGGAATACTTTTCGTAAACTCAAATTTCAAAAGTTGCTGTCTATTGAAAACTCAACGTCAGTTAGAAAAGTGTATTTTGTCAAATAGATCTAATAGTTGTCTTGTACAATGCTCAATCCTCATACTACACTAACATAACTGTGTGTTGTTGAATGATGAAGGCATGTTTGAAGACAAGCATTTGGTGTGAATGAATAGGTTGGATGCAGTGTTGCGTCGTTGGATATGAGAAAATGAATTAAGTATTTGTTCAGGAGGCATATGATAATCGGTTTATATACATTACTGAGTCTCTTCACACTGAATCTCAATGTTGACTATTTGAGAAATAATTTATGACCAGCGAAAAGTATTTTACAAAAGATTTTGCACAAGCACTTTTATAACATAAAGCAGAAATTGAACAATAACATTTTTCACATACTGTTTGAACACTGGTTACTTTCAGAACCAGAAGGTGACGTAAAGCATGTTTTGTAGGGAAGTTATTTGACCGTCACTGTATTCGTGATCAGAAACTAAGCGATTTCCTATTTTGATAACTCGCTAAACAATCAGACAACTTGTTTTATTAAAAATGGAAATCGAGATTTTAAGTGTCTTCTTCTGTACATTTTATTACAATAGATAAGAAAGAAATTCTTGTACCCGTTTCTTATAATTGGATCAAAACTGGAACATTGGTGGAGTATGACGTTTCCGGTGGTATGTTAAACCTCATTTTGTCAGAGTTGACTGTTTCATAAAATTGGAAATTTCATGTGTGACTTTAGTCAGTTATTAAATGATACTCAACAATCAACCTCAACTAACGTCACACTACACTTCGACTCGCTGTTGAATATCTAAATTGCTCAAGAACATATTTCAGACTACTAAACAATTCCTCACTTTGATGAAATTTACTTAAACACTATATCACAGATCGATGGATGAGATGATATAAGTTAATTAGATGATTGTGCATGGACGTGGAAGTCTCCATTGTTTTTCATTTGGTACACGCGATGTCAAATGTCGCCGAGATATTGAAATCTCAGAAACACTTCATGAAATTGTAATTAATTTGAAAATATTAGCTTGACTCCCAAAATCTCTACTTTATCCTGTTTATCCGATAAATTGAAGGTATAGACTAGTCACATGTTCATGTTTCAATTTATCATAGTCGGTGGATATTTGCACAGAATCAAAATTACTGACGATTTTCGGAACACGAAAGTCTTTCCTTCATCATGAATATGTACAAGAGTAACCACAACCACTTTGCAGTTCATCATGTGTTATACCATTGAAATAACATTTCGACATCTGACAGATTCATTGTATAATCTAATGTTCAGATCGACATCAACATTTACTGTATAAAATATGATTAACTATCGATGAATTTTCGTGATGTATTAAGTCTGACATGCTAACTAACAGCACGCAGGCTCGAATGTGGCCACATAGTCTGAAACCCTCCATCACAGATGGTCGACGGAAATCTCTCCAAAAACAACGTCAACCATGAATTGATAAACAATGTCACACTTCCTTGTTGTTTGACTGATTCAATAAATTGAAAATGAATTTCTTGTCTGAGAATGGCTGACTTTACTGCACTGAATTACAAATGCTCTGTTCATAATGTATATGTGGATGTATACATATGAGCGGTATACAAGTCGTATTTCAATCACAAAACTGATATCATGAAAAGAAACTCAACAACCGCAAAGATCATGTGTAGTAGGCGATGCTGAACCCAGTGACAATATGGTATGTACATTTCTGAATGTTAACAATCATGAAAATCAACCAAACTGCTCGTCAAACCTCATCGTTCAACATTCAACGCAGTTCTATTTGGTTCCAACATATTCTCGTGAATTGTGAATGACATTGCAAGTGTACTGAATTTCTCAGTGTGCAGTGTGATGACTAACTTACTGTGAATGAACTATTCACTTAAATCCGAAATCACCATTGTATCATTAGGCTACAGTTACATGTTTTGTTACTCACTCATCAGTTGTTTGGTAACTTGAAGTGCAATCACCTTATTCTTTTCTCTGAAGATTGTCCAAAACGCAGTTCGACTGAAACATGTCAAGACACGTCAGCATCGGATATAAAGTGCATTTGGTGTGAAAACGCCAATATGTGCATCGTCAGCAATGATGAGGATACTGATGACTTCAAAGTAAATAGCTGCCGGAACAAAGTAAGTAATTGGTAGACTTCATAGGTTGATTTTAATATTACCACATTCAACATTGTGAATCTATTTACTAGGGATAACACTTTATTGCTACGAACAAGTAGTGGTTTGTATCGTTCCTTCAGTGCATAAATCAAAGCATTGTATATGTTGGCAATATTTAATCAGGCATGAGTACAATGCTTTGTTTACAAGTGTACGTTCAACGATGAATAAAAGCGTTGTTTAACACGAATGCCTGGAAACATGTTGATTTTCAAGTTCATAGAATGTGTAGAGATTCCCGAAGTCCAATATGAAACCGTCTATCTGTGTGAGTTCTTACAAAATGTCGATGAAAACAGTTTGATTGATGAATCGTTATCTGTTGTAAATTTTGTTTGGATAATTAGTAGAAGCTCGTAGACTACTTAAAAATCCGAATCTCATTTGGTAAGTTTTCGATATTTAGTAATGTTGACACTGTATCGTTTTTTAGAATAGCTCGAATGTCAACGTTCCGAGTAAACCAACACTTGTCGAACATGCCACGACAACTTCAGGCATTAGTGAATCTGAATTAGAAAATGAATTGGAGAATGCTACTGGAAAATCTGAATCTGAATTGGTAAGTTTTCGATATTTAGTAATTTTGACACTGTATCGTTTTTTAGAATAGCTCGAATGTCAACGTTCCGAGTAAACCAACACTTGTCGAACATGCCACGACAACTTCAGGCATTAGTGAATCTGAATAAGAAAATGAATTGGAGAATGCTACTGGAAAATCTGAATCTGAATTGGTAAGTTTTCGATATTTAGTAATTTTGACACTGTATCGTTTTTTAGAATAGCTCGAATGTCAACGTTCCGAGTAAACCAACACTTGTCGAACATGCCACGACAACTTCAGGCATTAGTGAATCTGAATTAGGAAATGAATTGGAGAATACTACTGAAAAATCTGAATCTGAATTGGTAAGTTTTCGATATTTAGTAATTTTGACACTGTATCGTTTTTTAGAATAGCTCGAATGTCAACGTTCCGAGTAAACCAACACTTGTCGAACACGCCATGACAACTTCAGGCATTAGTGAATCTGAATTAGGAAATGAATTGGAGAATGCTGCTGAAAAATCTGAACCTGAATTGGTAAGTTTTCGATATTTAGTAATGTTGACACTGTATCGTTTTTTAGAATAGCTCGAATGTCAACGCCTCCAGTAAACCAACACTTGTCGAACACGTCACGACAACTTCAGGCATTAGTGAATCTGAATTAGAAAATGAATTGGAGAATACTACTGAAAAATCTGAATCTGAATTGGTAAGTTTTCGATATTTAGTAATTATTATGCTGCTTCGCTTTTTTCCAGAACACAACTGCAGCAATGACCGGAGACAAATACCAAACAAAATCAAGTCGTTTCACGCAAATACTCATACCAGTAGTAGTCTCGCTCTTTGTTGCGTGCATCGGCTGTGCTATTGGGCTGTGGTTGTATACTAAAAAGAAAGGTATACCGCGGTTCTCATGGAAGTCTTGTCCGTTGTTTTCGTCCTACTGACTTTGCTGTCTTTAGTTTGTTGTTTGTTGGAAACACTTTCGATTTTGTTATTTATTTCAGTTAATCGGAGATAATAATTCCAGTGAAATATATTCCACTTTTATCGTTGTTCACGTAATGACTGCTGTAATTTTGTTGGTGAAATATAAAATATGGTTTATAATGTTTGTGTGATTGTTTTCATTCAATTCAAACTGAACAGTTTTACAAGAGTTTACTGCACTGAGCTAGGAAATTCACAGTGTCGTGTAAACATGATTTTGTGACAATCGCAATCAACCATGATTCCGTTGTGAATGTCCATTTCGATGAAGTCCCAGCGCTGAAAAATATCGTCTGAAATCTACAACTTCCACCGTTCTAAACTAAACTGTCAGATAATGCATCAGTATTTAACAAAGCGACCCAATCCTTCGCTATTCGATTATTCACTGTTTAACGAAAGATTGATGATAGACTGTTGTTAACCAGGCGTTATGAATGCTGGTAATCGAATAATTCCAAAGCAAAGATGTAGATTGAATGAATAGATGGTGGCCAGAAGTGTAATTCAGGACGCACATCACTTCGTCACATAAGAGACTCATCAGTTAGCTGTACCTGCATCTCATAGTTAATGTGTTACTGCACTATTCCAACTCAGCATCGTCGTCGTGGTCCTGGGGTAATCGGCTTCTTCCAATAAATACAGACTTCGTACACCACGAACGATTTCTTCGTTTTCCGTTCTCAACTTCGCTGTACGAACGTGTACTTCAGGGTTATAGACTTCTACTTGTTTCAACGTTACTGACAAGAACTAGGTCGCTCGGTTGTAAATTTTTGCGTACACACTTAACCTCCGAGCTTCTTTCAGTTTTCGATTGGATAATAAAGTTAGATCCGCAGAAACATCGTCGAATGATAATTCTTTAGAAATCAACAACAATTTATTCAGAGTAAAAGCCTTGACGGTGTCAAGATCACTCGTCATTCGAACTAGTGCTCTGATATTAAACATCCTTTCAACCTTGGTCAGCATGTTTCGAAATAAAAACGCTGTGAGATTTCTTCCAGTTGATCTTAAGGTGCGCTCTCACACACCGCCTTGATGACTTGCCCTAGGTAGGTGAAAACGCCATTCATATCCCCATTCTTTGAGGTGATCCTCTATTTTGTTTTGATCTCAAAAGCATATAATCTGTCTCAAACTAGCATACAAACCTCGGGAATTCGAACCGCCGTCGCTAAAATTATGCTTCGCGCATTCTCTTCTGTCTATAAACACTGATGATACTCATAAACGTGAATCTGTGTCTAAAAATCAAGCCGCTTTAATGTGAGCAGCTCTAACGGATAAGCAATGAATAGATGGCCGCGAATTTTCTCAACAGCTCTCTCTCGATCGAAAATGGATGGTCCGAACTGATCCACAACTATTTGGATAAAACTTTTTAGTGGCCCGTGATCTGACTCCAATTTGATCGTATGAATGCTTGCTATCACCTATCCACGTATATAATCATTGACTTAAATCGCGTTAGCTAATAACGGAATTGAATAAGTCAAATAACAAGAATGGAGTTTTGAATGCATATATTTTGTTGATTAGACGAACGAACGGAGGAACGATGCGAAGATGAGAAAGCGAAGCTAAATTGGAGCGCGGTGGAGATGGCTGGTAAGCCAACTCTCCAGTTAACCAAGAGTTAGTCAAAATTTATAAGCACACAAAAATTAATTACAAACATATGATGAGTAATGGGATAAGAAGTGTACATACACCTACGCGCTCATATAAAGACAGTCAAGACATTGATAAGCGAATAATTAAACAGGTCAGAATGTGACTCAAATAGAATGAATAGAATGGGCTGTCCGAAAGTTAGAATAATAAGGTATTTGGGCTTAACATAATGACAGACACCACATAGCCCCCTTGTAAAAAATGGCACATTTAAAAAAATAGTCTGTTTTCGAAAATAACACTGAAGTGATGTGTGGCTAACGTTAACATTAAGTAGCGAAAAAAATTGTACAACACCCGATAAAGCACAGTGTCACATGAGGGGTGAGTGTTTTATATGAAAGTGTCATAGTTATGTAAAAGAATACATGAATATCGTAAAGGCGCGGACAATATGGAAGCATTAGCATGCGATTGTGGGTATGACGGTGAAATAAATTGTGAAAATAAGTAGATTAGAATATGACAGAAATTGGACTGTGATGCTGACAGAATAGTGAAATATGAAAATGTTCTGATGATCCGCAGTAGAGTAAATAGCATCGATTAGCAATGAGTGGATTCGAATTTAAATACGTAGAGTTCCCATTCGTAGGATAATAATAGTCATGTGAAATGATAACTGCATCGACGGGTGATATTCGTTACTGTACTACAATTGATAATAATCGTTAAATGCGAGGTCAGCGTACCTTGTCGTTTGCGTTATGATAAATGCATCGTGTTATCGTTAAATGTGTATTAGTAGAATGACCAGAGGAACAGAATCATGACTGAGTAGACGAGATACGTAGAGTCGTATTCCTTTTTGGTCGTGAAGCCTCGATTGGTTGGTGTGGTTTGAGGGAGATACGCTCGACCTCGTTTGTTAGAAAACCTTATTTAAGGCATGATAAAAATACTAATATGTATGATTAGCGATGGCGGCGTACGAGACTGACTTGGATGAGACGAACAAGAGTGTACCTTTGAGAGACCAGCTCTAAACTCTATGTTCTGGTATACAATACGATGGGAATAGAATAGTAATTGCAGTACTCGAATAATGCTTTTGAGTAATGAATGATGCGGCGTGTGGTTATACATGTGGACGAATAGATAAGATGAACGTAATCTTTACTAATCAGCTGGTAGTTAGAGGCATCCATAGACATAATAGGAGGCAATTTCGGAATGAAAAATGTATGGTATGATAACATTAAAATACCCTCGACTAAGTGAATGAATGTAATAATAGACCATAAATGACATGGAAAAATTGGAACGAACTCACTTAAAGTAGGTGATTTTACGTTGTTGAATAGTAAAAATATAGTCCAGTGAGTTTCGAATGTCATAACGTGGAGTGGAATGTTCATAAAATGATAATTTGTTCGGTGAGTGATATGACTACGTAAATGTCGTAATATAATGTCAGCACGAACAAAAATAATAATTCCACATTCGTTCATAATATGATAATGTTATAATAAACATATGATGATAATTTGAATCATAATGGAACATTCCAACAAATGAATCAATGAGAAAAGTTGACATGAGGACAGAGTATCGATAAGATAATATGATTTGTGCATGTCCATGTCGTACTGCACAGGCCTTGTTGTGTGCATCGGATTAGAGATTGTGCTCGCTTCGCTGAATTTGTTCGTCGAAAGTATCATGTGCAGAAATTTCATCGACGTAACTTGCTGCGTTGCGTTTGTCGTTGTCAGCTCACCACTTTCGTGGGTGGCCGTTGTCGCTGGGTTGCGTTAAGTTCGTTGTCGGCGAGAGTACCATTTTAGTGGCCCGTGATCTGACTCCAATTTGATCATATGAATGCTTGCTATCACCTATCCACGTATATAATCATTGACTTAAATCGCGTTAGCTAATAACGGAATTGAATAAGTCAAATAACAAGAATGGAGTTTTGAATGCATATATTTTGTTGATTAGACGAACGAACGGAGGAACGATGCGAAGATGAGAAAGCGAAGCTAAATTGGAGCGCGGTGGAGATGGCTGGTAAGCCAACTCTCCAGTTAACCAAGAGTTAGTCAAAATTTATAAGCACACAAAAATTAATTACAAACATATGATGAGTAATGGGATAAGAAGTGTACATACACCTACGCGCTCATATAAAGACAGTCAAGACATTGATAAGCGAATAATTAAACAGGTCAGAATGTGACTCAAATAGAATGAATAGAATGGGCTGTCCGAAAGTTAGAATAATAAGGTATTTGGGCTTAACATAATGACAGACACCACATAGCCCCCTTGTAAAAAATGGCACATTTAAAAAAATAGTCTGTTTTCGAAAATAACACTGAAGTGATGTGTGGCTAACGTTAACATTAAGTAGCGAAAAAAATTGTACAACACCCGATAAAGCACAGTGTCACATGAGGGGTGAGTGTTTTATATGAAAGTGTCATAGTTATGTAAAAGAATACATGAATATCGTAAAGGCGCGGACAATATGGAAGCATTAGCATGCGATTGTGGGTATGACGGTGAAATAAATTGTGAAAATAAGTAGATTAGAATATGACAGAAATTGGACTGTGATGCTGACAGAATAGTGAAATATGAAAATGTTCTGATGATCCGCAGTAGAGTAAATAGCATCGATTAGCAATGAGTGGATTCGAATTTAAATACGTAGAGTTCCCATTCGTAGGATAATAATAGTCATGTGAAATGATAACTGCATCGACGGGTGATATTCGTTACTGTACTACAATTGATAATAATCGTTAAATGCGAGGTCAGCGTACCTTGTCGTTTGCGTTATGATAAATGCATCGTGTTATCGTTAAATGTGTATTAGTAGAATGACCAGAGGAACAGAATCATGACTGAGTAGACGAGATACGTAGAGTCGTATTCCTTTTTGGTCGTGAAGCCTCGATTGGTTGGTGTGGTTTGAGGGAGATACGCTCGACCTCGTTTGTTACAAAACCTTATTTAAGGCATGATAAAAATACTAATATGTATGATTAGCGATGGCGGCGTACGAGACTGACTTGGATGAGACGAACAAGAGTGTACCTTTGAGAGACCAGCTCTAAACTCTATGTTCTGGTATACAATACGATGGGAATAGAATAGTAATTGCAGTACTCGAATAATGCTTTTGAGTAATGAATGATGCGGCGTGTGGTTATACATGTGGACGAATAGATAAGATGAACGTAATCTTTACTAATCAGCTGGTAGTTAGAGGCATCCATAGACATAATAGGAGGCAATTTCGGAATGAAAAATGTATGGTATGATAACATTAAAATACCCTCGACTAAGTGAATGAATGTAATAATAGACCATAAATGACATGGAAAAATTGGAACGAACTCACTTAAAGTAGGTGATTTTACGTTGTTGAATAGTAAAAATATAGTCCAGTGAGTTTCGAATGTCATAACGTGGAGTGGAATGTTCATAAAATGATAATTTGTTCGGTGAGTGATATGACTACGTAAATGTCGTAATATAATGTCAGCACGAACAAAAATAATAATTCCACATTCGTTCATAATATGATAATGTTATAATAAACATATGATGATAATTTGAATCATAATGGAACATTCCAACAAATGAATCAATGAGAAAAGTTGACATGAGGACAGAGTATCGATAAGATAATATGATTTGTGCATGTCCATGTCGTACTGCACAGGCCTTGTTGTGTGCATCGGATTAGAGATTGTGCTCGCTTCGCTGAATTTGTTCGTCGAAAGTATCATGTGCAGAAATTTCATCGACGTAACTTGCTGCGTTGCGTTTGTCGTTGTCAGCTCACCACTTTCGTGGGTGGCCGTTGTCGCTGGGTTGCGTTAAGTTCGTTGTCGGCGAGAGTACCATTTTAGTGGCCCGTGATCTGACTCCAATTTGATCATATGAATGCTTGCTATCACCTATCCACGTATATAATCATTGACTTAAATCGCGTTAGCTAATAACGGAATTGAATAAGTCAAATAACAAGAATGGAGTTTTGAATGCATATATTTTGTTGATTAGACGAACGAACGGAGGAACGATGCGAAGATGAGAAAGCGAAGCTAAATTGGAGCGCGGTGGAGATGGCTGGTAAGCCAACTCTCCAGTTAACCAAGAGTTAGTCAAAATTTATAAGCACACAAAAATTAATTACAAACATATGATGAGTAATGGGATAAGAAGTGTACATACACCTACGCGCTCATATAAAGACAGTCAAGACATTGATAAGCGAATAATTAAACAGGTCAGAATGTGACTCAAATAGAATGAATAGAATGGGCTGTCCGAAAGTTAGAATAATAAGGTATTTGGGCTTAACATAATGACAGACACCACATAGCCCCCTTGTAAAAAATGGCACATTTAAAAAAATAGTCTGTTTTCGAAAATAACACTGAAGTGATGTGTGGCTAACGTTAACATTAAGTAGCGAAAAAAATTGTACAACACCCGATAAAGCACAGTGTCACATGAGGGGTGAGTGTTTTATATGAAAGTGTCATAGTTATGTAAAAGAATACATGAATATCGTAAAGGCGCGGACAATATGGAAGCATTAGCATGCGATTGTGGGTATGACGGTGAAATAAATTGTGA